GCCGCCCTGGCTGGGATCTGGACTCCCGGGTCATGGGCCGAGGCAGCCAGGGTGCTCTTGGTTGGGCGCTGGCCCTGATGTGGGGGTGCAGCGGGGGGTGCAGACGTGCCCGCCCACGTGTGGATGGGAGGGGAGGCGGCACCTCTCAGGTTTCCAGTGTGGGCCGGGCCCTACCCCTTCTGGATGGTGGTGAGCCCTGGGCCTGGGAGCAGCTGGCACAGGCTGCCCCCCGCACTCAGGCCCTCCCGGCACGGTCCAGCCTTCCAGCCTCCACAGCGGCCTATACGGCCCTCCCACGATTTGGGCAGTGGAGAGTCCCAGTGGCCCTTCTTCAGGCCCCGCCCTCAGCCTGAGCCTGCACCCAGCGTCATGGGGTGCAGCATCGTGGCAGCCCTGCATCATGGCGGCCCTGAGTCATGGCATGGGACTCAGGTGGCGGGGGGTCTGCCCACCCCGGGTCTCTTCTCCCCCCTGGTTTTTCCCTCCCTTGCCTGGCTGTGCACACATGGTGGGATTAATTCTTCTGGGAGACAGATGGACCCCTTATTGGTGAAAGGCCCTTCTTGGGCATTTTTGGTGTTGGAAGCACGGGAGCCTGTCATTCAGAGACTCTGGAAGGGACTCAGGAGCTGCTGTCTCCTTTGAGGGGGCAGGCCCATAGCTCTGTGTCCCCGGGTGACCAGCTGAGAGCCGAGGTCAGAATGGCCTCATGGGTAGTGAGGGACCTGTCCCTGCAGAGTCTGGTGGGCCATGGCTAGTCAGGAGCTGCCCTGCTGGGCATGGGTCCCCAACCAACAGACTCTGGCCCCTCACACGCACTGTCTCCAGCCGCTGGTCGGTTCTCTCCAGGGCTACTCAGCTGCAGCTGTCTGAGCCTGGGCTGGCCTCCTGGGAGAGGGAGGACCTGGCCATCCGGCCTTCTCCAGGCCCCAGGATGCCAGGCACCATGGGAGGTCTCAGGGGGCGCAGAGCGTTACATCCTCACAGAGCCCCAGGGCGTCCCGTCCTGCAAAAGCAGTAACGTAGGTCATAGGATGGGCAGGCCCTGCTCCTGAGTGTCCGCCTCGCTGGTCCCTCCAGCCAGCCCAGCCTCAGCTGTGGAGGCTGTGCTGCCTTTTCTGCCTCCTTGGGGCTGGGACTCCTGGCTGCCCGCCCGTGGGAGTTTCCTCTGCCTTCCAGATGCAGGACTGGGGCCTCCAATGTTTAGCGCGGACATGGACTGTGTGGACACTCAGGACCCCTCGTGGGGTCGGCAGCAGGGCCTTCGGCCATCAGAGGGAGGTGAAGCTCTGGCAGGAGGGACAAGGAGGGAGGGCTGTGGGGAGGGGAGCCTTGAGCTACGGGGAGGAGCCTGGAGTGGGGAGCGGCAGGTGCCAAGGTCCTGCCAAGGAGTGAGGGGCCGAGTGGGGGTGCAGCAGGTCCTGGGTGGCAGGAGTGTGGCTGGGCGGGGACAGCAGGGGGGGAAGTTAGGAGAGGTGAGTGGAGGCCTGATCCACAGAAACGGTGGGGGCATCCTGGTTTTGCTCTGGTCCTGGCTGTCGGTGGAGCGTTCCGGGGTGGAGGTGCAGGGCAAGCGGCTGGGCTGGGCTTTCCTGGTGGCAGGGAGGTGACAGGCAGGAGGAGGCCCAGCACTGAGGGTGGGCACAGTGGCGTCCCTGTGGCTGCAGGAAGGAGCGGGCAGGTGGGGCCCGGGGCACTCTTCACGGAGGCAGGGGGCAGGTGAGCCTGGTGCGGCTGCCAGACGCGCCTGGCCTGAGAGCCTGTGCCAGGGATGCGGCATTTTTCAGGGGCCCGAGACCAGGTGGCGGAGGCCGTGGCACCTGCCTGGTCTCAGGTGGCAGGGGGAGGGGGTGTCAAGGACCCCGCTGGGTATGCCCTGTTCCCACTGGTAGCCGTTGAGACCTGGCCTGTGGCCTTTTGCAGGCCTGGGGCAGGTTTTTTTTCTCACCTGAGAGCTCAGCGGGACTGTGTGTGTCTGTGTGTAGAGTGGGCATGCACATGTGTGGTGTGAGGGCGTATGCATGTGTGTGCAGTGTGTAGGTGTATGCATGTGGTATGGGTGCATGTGTGTGTGCATATGCAGTGTGTGTGTGACTGTGTGCAGTGTGTGTGGGTATATATGTGTGTGCATGTGCAGTGTATGGTTGTGTGTGGTGGAGCTGGAGAGGGGAGGTGGCTACAGGCAGCAGGCTGGGCCCTGTGGAGGGTCTGCACACAAGGCTGCCTGTGCCCTGGTCTTCTCCCCAGACGCTCTCGCTTGCCCCTGCCTCCACCGTTCCTTGCTGTTCCCCACAGCCAGCCCCATCCAGCCCTCAGGTCTCTGTGCAGGTGTCCCCTCCTCCAGGAAGCCTCCCTGACTACCCCTTGTTACCCAGTGCATGCCACAACCCTCTGCTGTCTTGTCTTCCTGGGAGTCCACGCTCTGGGTTACAGTGGGGGCGTTTTGTGCCTCTCGTCCTGAAGCTAAGGCCCCGAGGACGGCGCAGTGGGGCCTCCTCCCTCTGCATCCTGGCAGGAATGTGGGGAGGGCGTCAGCTCGAGAGGCAGGATTGCAATCCAGGCTCTGCTCTGCTGAAGGCTCTCGTTCCCAGGGAGCAGGTGGGTTGGATAGCAGAGGCCTCTGAGGCGGGAGGAGGCACCACACAGGGTCTGGTGGTCCTGGGGTACTGCAGGA